AAAACCCATTTTCGTTGATTTTTCATCCAAAGATTGATGATTTTATATATAAAAAATTTCTCCAAATGACAATGTTAGCCGCCGAAATTAGATTGCACATGCATTCATTGAGATTAATTTTTTCATTTGCATAAGTTTTTTTTAATGAAATGAAATCATCAGTATGAAACCTCAGGGGGTTTTTGTGTAATTTTTGAAACTTCAAGGGTTTTGTGAAAACACCGAAAACCTCAAGGGGTGTTTGTGTAAATAACTCTTTTATTATTTTTATTTTTATAATATACCAAGAGGATTAAACTTTAATAAAGTGAGAAAAACGTACAGGGCATAAACATTAGCCAATTTGCTCGTCAAGGCAATAAAGAAAAAGCGAATAACCACCAAATTAGTTATATAGAATGGAAAAGTTCTCAGAAGGGAGATTAATTTTGTTTATGTATTTATTGGAAGGAGAAAAGGAAGAAACAGGAAAGTTCCCATTGCTCTAATCAATATATTACTTCTCCATTAACAACCCAATTACAGCACAGAAAAACGCAACTATATATGTCTGATTTCAGTGTTTCTTTCCATTATGGCTGTGTTTGATTTATGGGAAAGGAGACTTGGGAATGTGAAATCAATTGCTTTATCATGTTTGGTAAATTCAGGTATGGGAATGGTTGCCTGACATGAGAAATTATTTCCCATCAAACCTTTTATGCGAACCAAACGGGATCTATATGTAAAGAACACTAGAAAAGACTTGTGCGGAAAGTAAATTAAAAGTGAAACGAGACGCAAAGAGTAAATTGGAATATGTTTTATTTTTCTGAGTAAGGTATTGAGAGAAGGTAAAACAAGATTTTCCTTGATGATTGTATAATAACACTTTTAATGGGTTACTTACCCTATTAAAACAAAATATAAAAAAAAGGAAAAGCAAATTGCCAACTTTCCATATCCTCTCTCTCACATCACATGGATAAGGAGACTTATAAATATCGGAGAGAGAAAGAAAGGGAGAAGAGTTTGTAGTCCCATTCCAAATATTGCCATTATTTCTCTTAAACATCTCTCTCTCTCTCTCTCTCTCTCTCTCTCAAAGACTGAATGGGTTCCTGGGTTCATAACAGTTTTTGTGTTGCTAGAATATTAGGCCTGTTGCTTATCGTTGGTTTTGTTCCTAATAATGGTGGTGCAAGTGAAGAGGCATCATGTGATTTGTTCACAGGGAGATGGGTTTTGGACGAAAACTACCCAATCTACAATCCGTCGTCCTGCCCCTTCATCGAGCGAGAGTTCAGCTGCCAAAAGAATGGCCGCCCAGACCATTTTTACACCCAATACAGATGGCAACCACATGACTGTGACTTAGCAAGGTACATCATTATTACCACCATTTTCTTCTTCTACTTATTATTTTTATTATTATTATCATTATTATTAATTATTGCTTTCCTTTTTACTGCAATGTTATTATTTTTGCATTACTATATATATATATTATTTTTCTAGCTATAGCGTCCCTTCTGTCATCTTACAACACATATGAAGTAAATTTTATATAATTCCTGGGTAGATCAATGTCGTTTAAAAAAACCCAAAAATTTGTGACAGAGAGAGCCCAAATAGACATAGGAATATTATATATATAAAGTAGTGTAGTGCTTCTCTCTCACAATGATTTTAATAGACATAGGAATATTATATATATAAAGTAGTGTAGTGCTTCTCTCTCACAATGATTTTGGGAAATTTAATGGGAGTGCTGCTATTTTCACCTGTTCTATTTTCCCACCCAATTTATTTTCAAAATTTTAAAGATAAATTTATCCCTTTGTAAAATGACGTCTAAGAACCTAAGAAAAAAACTTTTTTAAAGCATTTCAAATAAAACAATAAACTAAAATAAAAATAAAACAACATTTTTATTTTCACTGGAGATTCATTAAGCCGAAATCAATGGCAGTCCTTGACGTGTATGCTTCACTCAGCTGTCCCAAATGCTAACTACAATTTCACAAGAGTAGAGGATGTATCTATCTTCACTTTTACGGTATGTACTCAATCCCACATTATTTATACGTGCACACAAAACTCTTTTGTTAAACATAACACTTTGTACGTTGTCGGACTTTGAATCTAAATCATATTAATCTAGACAAAGTAAGAAAGTTGTTTATCTAATTGCCAACTATATTCAACTGAAGTCACATCGGTTTGGGTTGGGTTGGTTCGGGTGAGATGAATCCATCTTGACAGTTTAGACTTATTGGTTTTCAATTTCATCCACTTCTTTTATTGATTGGCCACTTGCAAAAGTAATGGAAGAATGATAGAGGGAAGATGAAGTCATCTTCCACCAAAAGTATTCATTGCTGGTCCATGTTTAGTCTCGTGTGAAATTAATTTCAGCTTTCAATTCCTTGAACAACTTGACATGAAATTTTGTCAAGATTCTACCAAACATGAACCATGTGGTCCTTTTTTTTAAAAATTGGTTGTGGGTGGTGGGGTAAATTTTGTGGTGAAAATTTATGATTGAAATTACTGCAGGATTACGGACTGAAAGTGATGCTGGACCGCAATGTGTATCTAGTAGATGTTGTAAGAGAAAAGATTGGTAGGGTTTTGAAGCTTGATTCAATTGTGGGAGGCAAGTTATGGAAGGAGATTGACATGCTCATCTTCAACACTTGGCATTGGTGGAATCGCAGAGGACCCTCTCAGCCGTATGCCTAATAACTAAAATCTACAATTTTCTTATGGTTATTTAATTCTATAAATTAATTTTTGCTACAAATAAAATTATGGTAACACTCAAAACTAATGTAATTTTTCAGATGGGATTATGTTGAAGTAGGAGGCCGGATCAGCAAAGACATTGACCGGATGGTTGCTTTTGAGAAGGCACTCATGACTTGGGCTGGATGGGTGGATTCAAACATTGATCCAGCAAAAACTAAAGTTTTCTTCCAAGGAATTTCTCCCTCTCATTACAAGTAAGTTCCTTATTTTAATAAACTTAAACTAAAATATTGAACATTGAATGTTAAATCTAATTCAAGTACTCATGAATCGTTGTCAATCTTAAATACGTACATTAACGACTGATAACTGTCCACGTGCACGTGAATGAAGTCATGAGATCAAGAAAATAGTCTCTCACCTTCTTTTTGTGTCTGTGATTTTAGTGGGAGCCAATGGGATGAGCCAAAGGCAAGAAGTTGTGTAGGGCAGAAGGAGCCTTTGCTTGGATCGACATATCCAGGAGGTTTGCCACCAGCTCTGAGTGTGCTGAAGAACGCCCTAAGCAAAATCACAAAGCCTGTGACATTGCTAGATGTAACAAACCTGTCGCTCCTGCGCAAAGATGGGCACCCTTCAATCTATGGGTTGGGAGGCACCACAGCAATGGATTGTAGTCATTGGTGCCTTTGTGGAGTCCCAGATACTTGGAACGAGATTCTTTACAATTTTATTCTTTGAAACATTTTTCATTTAATTCATACCCACCAAATTATAGAATTTGGCGACTTCTTAGAAAAAATAATAATTGATTTATAATGATATTCAGAGTTTTCTATACTACTATTTTTTTTTTCAAAGTTGGAACTGCGATATGCAAATGAAAATCCCGCTTCAGAAAAAATGTTTGTGACTTGACAGGTTTAACACATTGGGTTGAAGTTACGTTTGGTGGCTCAACTTGGATTGAAAATTTTCAATTAATTTAGATGAACACTTCAGATGTTGTTTGGTGAACTTATAAATGCTCGGAATAAAAGACCCTAATTCTGATACAAGCTCAACCACCAAAGATGTAGAAGACCCAAATTCTACCCAAAGAGTTTAGCAATTAAAATTGTGGAAGGATCCCCTAATCTACCAGTAATTTTTTGAAAAAAATTATTTTATTACATGGATAAGGGCCAAAACTAATAACAAATTGATAAATTAGCCCAATACATTTATTGGGGTCCACAAGAGTACACGAGCCCAAATCTTCCTCGTAGCAATAAAATCAGCACAAATAAATAAGCTGAAAATAAAAAGTAAAAAAGGTCTATGTAGGCTACACCTCGGACAGATAGGACGGGGTTGGAATGCCAAGTCAAACCCACAATTACGGCATGTGAATATAATTTCGTTTGTGTTTATTAACACATATATAATTCGGGGCTTCTCCAATGCGAACTCTAAGATGCGAACTCGTTGCGAACTTTTGTTTTTAACCGTTGGAAGAAGAGCGAAAAGAAAGAAAATAAAGCCATACAAGCCATCCAACGGTTAAAAACAAAAGTTCGCAACGAGTTCGCATCTTAGAGTTCGCATTGGAGAAGCCCCGAATTATATATGTGTTAATAAACACAAACGAAATTATATTCACATGCCGTAATTGTGGGTTTGACTTGGCATTCCAACCCCGTCCTATCTGTCCGAGGTGTAGCCTACATAGACCTTTTTTACTTTTTATTTTCAGCTTATTTATTTGTGCTGATTTTATTGCTACGAGGAAGATTTGGGCTCGTGTACTCTTGTGGACCCCAATAAATGTATTGGGCTAATTTATCAATTTGTTATTAGTTTTGGCCCTTATCCATGTAATAAAATAATTTTTTTCAAAAAATTACTGGTAGATTAGGGGATCCTTCCACAATTTTAATTGCTAAACTCTTTGGGTAGAATTTGGGTCTTCTACATCTTTGGTGGTTGAGCTTGTATCAGAATTAGGGTCTTTTATTCCGAGCATTTATAAGTTCACCAAACAACATCTGAAGTGTTCATCTAAATTAATTGAAAATTTTCAATCCAAGTTGAGCCACCAAACGTAACTTCAACCCAATGTGTTAAACCTGTCAAGTCACAAACATTTTTTCTGAAGCGGGATTTTCATTTGCATATCGCAGTTCCAACTTTGAAAAAAAAAATAGTAGTATAGAAAACTCTGAATATCATTATAAATCAATTATTATTTTTTCTAAGAAGTCGCCAAATTCTATAATTTGGTGGGTATGAATTAAATGAAAAATGTTTCAAAGAATAAAATTGTAAAGAATCTCGTTCCAAGTATCTGGGACTCCACAAAGGCACCAATGACTACAATCCATTGCTGGCAGATTCAGTGGTGAGGACCTCTTGAGGAGGTTAAAGGGGAAGAAGCTACTATTCGTAGGGGATTCTCTAAGCCTCAACCAGTGGCAGTCACTAACATGCATGTTGCATGCTGCGGTTCCTCAAAACAATTATACCATAACAAGGAAAGGAGGCCTCTCTACGTTTTTTATGCCTGTGAGTTAACACCAATTAAGTTAATACTTTTTTAACAACATATATCTAATATGGGCATGTTATATATTTCAATTACTAATTCTATATTAAGCACTAATTGGGCAATTATATATTGATCAATAGATAAATCACCCCTTGGTTTTTGCAGGATTATGATGTTTCTGTTTTGTTATCGCGCAATGCGTTTCTGGTGGATCTAGTGAGAACAGAGGCAGGCATGGTTCTAAGGCTTGACTCCATTACAAATGGCAACGATTGGAAGGGATACGACATGCTCATCTTCAATACCTGGCATTGGTGGCTTCATAAAGGAAGCCGACAACCGTGAGAACCCCAAATTACAATCATTCTGCACTGCAATTCGCAAGTTTATAATCACAAACCCCAAAGAGCATTAAAAATATGTTACTTCCATCATTCGACTAATATATTGTAGATTGTCTTATGATGATTTCAGATGGGACTACATTGAATCAGGAGGACAGATACTGAAGGATATGGACCGCTTGGCTGCTTTTAAGGAGGGATTAACTACTTGGTCCAAGTGGGTGGATTCTAATGTTGATGCTAACAACACCAAAGTTTTCTTTCAAGGCATTTCTCCTACCCATTACAAGTATGTCATGATTGCCTCTTTTATTAAAGAAAGATAGCGATTCGAATTTGGGACCTCTATGCCATTTTTGGTAGATTAGTAGACCAAAAGCTATAATTGGCCCTCTAATCTAACTATATATTTATATAATCATCTCTGAAAAAACTAACTACATATATTATTATTATTTGCCTATTTTATTAAATATGCATATTATTGGTGGAGCAGTGGAAAAGAATGGGACGATCCAAATTCAGCAACATGCAGCGGACAAACACAACCTGTGAGTAGTAGAACATACCCAGCAAGTTCACCACCAGCAGCAACTGTGGTCAACGATGTGTTGACTGCCATGTCATCCCCAGTAACCTTGCTCGACATAACTCTACTATCGCAGTTGAGAAAAGATGGGCACCCTTCTATGTACGGCAATGGTGGAAGAACGGGAAACGATTGCAGCCACTGGTGCCTTGCTGGTGTTCCTGATACCTGGAATCAACTTTTTTATGCAACTCTTGTGACCAGTGACTAAAAACGAATTATGATGTCAACTTTAGATTTTGTGTTGTATACTTGAAAATGGCCTTTAATTCTATTCACACCCAATGTTTTTCTCATTTCACGCTCAAGAAATTATAGCACCTTTTTTGTTCACTTATGAATCATGATAGGAGAATGTATAAAAGAAATTAATTTGAACAATTTGCAAGAAGTACAACACAAACTTGTGTTTCATATTGCTGCCGACAATTTTTGCAAAGACTATTTACTTATTTCTTTATATTTTTTCGTGCATATGACAAGATTTGAAACTACTAGAGCTAATGATGATCCAATTTCTCATACTTGAGCTAATGATGATCGACCAAGACTATTTATTACTTGCTACCATTTTTTTTTTTCTCATTCAAGTTAATTTTGAAAGCCGAAATTAAGAGTTATTCGAGAAACAGTAATGCTAGACATATTGGATTGACCACATTATGTTATGTTATGTACAGTACAATTTATGTATACATGACACCACATGTGATTTAAGTTTTTTTATATTTAATTTAAATCAAAGAATAAAGAAACCTAATTAGCTCGTATCCGGCCCTATTAATTGAATTCAATTAAAATAATAAACTTAAATTATATGTGATCATATTAATTGAGATTCCCACATCAGCCGCCACACATAATGTTGTCAATTTAGTGTGTTCTAGGATGCATGATAATAAATATAAAATGGTAGGAAAATGAGATGGTGAGAAATTCAACTTTGCGCGTGACCATGACTAGAAAACGTCCAAACAACAGCTATACTAATATAAAAGGACAAGAAATTGGAAAAAAGGTGTCTTCGTTGTCTCTCCAAGTGAAGCCAATGAAGCAATTAAAACAAACGCCCCACCTTACAAACTCAAACGTCCACCATGTGCACAGCTATCTATAGAGTTTTCTGGGTCTTTCACTCTCCACAAATTTCTCAATTTCTCTGTCAATAAATTATGGGGAAAATGTTGCATGGCTTTGGCTTGGTTGCTTATGCTCTTCTTCTAGTTCTATGCCTTCATGAAGACCAATTACATTGCTATGCAAAACTACTTGCGACCAGCTGTGACTTGTTTCATGGGAGTTGGGTTCTTGATAAAAGCTATCCACTCTACGACACCTCCAGCTGCCCTTTCATTGAGAAAGAGTTTGACTGCCAAAACAATGGACGGACAGACGATCGGTATCTCAAATATAGATGGAAGCCTGACGCTTGTGCATTGCCAAGGTAATAATTCATGTGACTTTTTCTCTCTCTAGCTACTTTTCTTCTCATATAGTGGCAAAGTTTGCCTGCTTTGTTGGAAAAACATGCTTATATATCCATGTCCGAGATTTAAATCATCTAGTTGAAGACTGAAATGAAATGATTTCTGAAACGTTGTTCATTAATTATATGCCTCTGTTTGGATATGAAGGAATTGAAAATTGCATATAATTCTAATTAAAATGACGGAATTTAAATCTCCATCGTTTAAATTTCTGACAATTAATAATTTCAGTATTTTTATTTATGTATGTCGAATTTTGTAAATAACAAAATGACGAGTATTTGTATAAGGGGTAATGTTCTCTTATCACAATGACCTGCCATTAAAATTGAAACATTATTTCGCCTAATTAATAGTTTGAATTAACAGTCTGACAACATATGTCTGACAACATATGGAAATATTTTTGCTCACCACTTTAACCTAAGATGTATCATCACCACCCTTTTTAATATTTGACATATATCCATATGCATAACCATAGTTAACTTTTACTTTGTGTTTATTGAACCATGGTAATGCATATGGACACGTGTTAAGTATTGAGAAGGATGATGAGGATACACCTTGAGTTAAAGTAGTGAGCAAAAATATTCTCGACAAATATAACATTTTCTAGTATATAATTAAGTAGGTTGTCGTTGACTTTTATATTCAGCAGCTAGCAAGCATCGGAGACAAATAATTGATTCAGAAAGTAAGCTTGTACACACATATATGAGTTTAGAAACATACACTATGCGACACAAATACAAATATCTAATAATAATGTCATGACTACAAAAAAAAACCCCTTGCGCGACAAATATTAATCATCGTCGCTCAAAGTCTTACGCGACTCAATTTTGCGCAACGAAAAACAAATCGTCGCACAA